TGGATGGATGAGTGGGTGAGTGGGTGAGTGGATGGAATGATAGATAACTCAGTAGTGTGGCAAACTGTAGAAAATGTGGAGACAAACGCAACTGGAAACCTGCAGTCTGTTCAGGAGTATTTTCTGTGTGCCTACATTTTGTCCATCTCCATGCAAGACACCAGGGGACTTTCTACATGAGAAGTAGAGGGCAGGATGATTTGGGGGGTCGAGCACAGCATTTTCTGCTGCTAATAATTACAACACAAGTACTCACCCAATACCGGAGACAGCCCTGGCAAAAACGGTCCTCATCCTCTTAATTCTGTGGCAAACAGAGATGGTCAGTGGTGCCCTCCTCCCTGGAGAGACGAGGCTATGGTACAGACAGGCCAGGCTGCAGAAGAGGGGTCCACGGTGGGGAGGGTGGACATAAGTCAGGTCATGTCCTCCAGCCTGGCCAAGGGCACCCTGTGACTGGCCTCTGTGGGTCGGGTCCTGGCCCACCCCCCCCCCCCAGCACTGACCCTAGCCAACCTTTGTTTCACTTTGTGTCCCCTCCATGCCGGGCTCTGTGTCGGCTCACACTGGTTGTCATTATCATGGGAAAAGGGAAGTCTAAGGTCAGGTCAGTGCTGATGCTGGAGGATAGCATCTGGAAGCAGCTGAGAGCAGCACCCCTCACTTGAGGGGCCTCCAGGCCTCTCAGACCCCCCGCCTTGGTCTGCACACCCAGCTCCCTCCAGCCTTGGCTTCTGCTCCCTTGTGTGTCAGCCTTAAGTGAGGTCCTGGCCTTGCACCGACTCTACTCACTAGTGATTCTTCAAGCTCCTGAGTCCCAGCCCCGTGACAGAGAGAAGTTCTGATTGTCCGGCTCATTGCTGGAAGCCTGGTTGCACTGGCCACAGGGCTCCAGGTAGCCTCTGAACGTGGTGTCTCCGGTTGGTTGTCTCTCCTGGATCAGGCACGGCCAAAGCGGAGTTGCAGAGCTGAAACCCAGGGCCTGGGTCGCGGGGGCTGCGGACAGAGACGGCTCCTTGACTAACACCCACGGCATCCTGTGCATGTTTAGGGCGGAACGAGGCACCTGCTATGATGGGTAATTCTGTGCGTCAACTTGACTGGCCGTAGGCGGCCCAGACATCGGGTCAAGCACCGCTCTGGGCATGTCCGTGAGGATGTTTCTGGATGAGGTGAACACTGGGATCGGTGGACTGAGTCAGGAAGTCTGGATGGAGCGGATTCGCAGGAACCTAGTGGTTTGTGTCTCTGGGAGCCTCACTAACGCACCTGCCTTCTGGGACATCAGGAGCAGCTGCCCCTTCGCAGCTTCCCCCTGACGTCCTCCGCTAAGGGGAGCAAGAGTGCAAGCCCAGGGTCGGCAGGGCAACTCTCGTCCTCACTCGGGATTGCATACTACAACTGACCCGCAGCTCCCGGGGCTGAAAAAAACCGGAAACGCGTCATCTAGAATCAAAAAGAACCACCCTCTTGCACCTCGCTGCCCGCTGTGCCTCTGACTGTCCTCCTCTGGCTTTTCAGACACGTGAGCGGCCTCCAGCCCCAGGGGACAGGCACGCGGCCATCCCTGCCTAGGACGGTGCTGCCCAACACAACAGCTGCTGGCCGTGCGATCCTAGTGAAATTTAAGGTAATTACAAATCAGGGCAACTAGAAAGCCGGTTTCCAGGGCTCTTGGGTCACAGCGTGGATGTGCGACATCCATCATCACGAGCAGCTCTGTTGGCCTGTGCTGACCCAGTCCGTGGCCACGCGCCCCCACCCCGGCCACCGTGGCCTCGTTCACGTCTGCGCTCCCTTCACTCAGCCCAGCAGACACGGCCTCAAGCAACCTGCGTCCCCATTTCCGCGCTGGTTGTTTGTTGGGCTGGGATCAGATGCCCGCGGGCCCAGGCTCATTGTGGGTTCGGGCAGTGCCCCTGTCTGTTCCCGGGCCGAGCAGGTCCACGTCCCAGTAGGTGTCTGCAGGATGAATGCAGGAACGCGGCCTCCCGAGGAGAACAGAACCACACAGCTTATAGATCCAAGCCCGCTGTGTCGAGAGCAGGAGCCGGGTCAGAGGCTGGCAGCGTCCATGCACAGTCTTCAGGTAGCACCGAGAGGTTCCCTGCTTTGCCCCAAGAGGGGTTCTGAATCTGGAGCTTAGCCCAGGTGAGGGCTTTTCACCGCTGAAGGGAAAGTCCTTGCAAACCGATGTTCGGAATGTTGCCCAAGAGGAGCCACTTCCGGACTGGGGGCACGAGGCCTGGGTCTGAGGGAAGCTCTGCATGGGGCCCCTCCTCCGAGTACGGGCTGAGACCCCCGGGGAGGGAAAGCTCGTGGCCCCTGTGCACAGGGGCGGGGTGTGGGCCATCATTGTCACTGGCTCCACAGCAGGAAAAGGAATGGTCCCGGGCTCCCGGACTGCCCCACACCCTGCTTCTGGGGAAAGACAATGGGCCAGGAGGGCAGGGGCAGGAGACGGACGCCAAAAGGGCGGAGGCCCCGCCGGAGGGGCTGCGGGAGCCCAACAGGCAGCCGGGCCGTGGTCGCACTAAGCCAGCCATCCCAGGGCCAGGACCCCGGGCACGGAGGGGCGTGGGGACAGGAGATGCGGGATTTCTGCTGCCAAGGCCTGGGCGGGACGGCCTTCCCGAAGGGGCAGGAAACAGATGGCCTGACCAGGATGGTCTCTCAGGCTTTCTGGGGGCAGGGAAGGGCCAGGACGAGGGAGGAGGCCCTTGCCTGTGCAGAGATGAAGCTGGTGGGGCTCCAAGTCGGGTCCCCCCCCCCCCCCGCCCGTCACAGGAGGGGCTGGGGGCCATCTCTGACCCAGCACCACGGTCGGCCTGGATAAGGAGAGTGAGGCCGAGAGCAGTCCCGAAGGGGTCAGGGTGGACCGACCGGGCCTCCTCCGATGTCCCGGCTCCGCGGGGAACGTGGGCGTGCGGCCTTCGGTCCACGTGGGCCAGGGGGTGGGGTTCGGCCTCCTCCTCCAGCAGAGGCAGAGGAAAAGGGGGTCCGGGGAGGGGCTCATCACAGTCAGAGGAAGGCTCCCGGCCCCTCTCCCACCACAAGGGCACCCAGTGCAGGCCGCGTTCAGCAGACCACTAACAGCTCTTCTCAGAGTCAAAGACGCACTGGGTCTGAGATGTGGGGCCAGTGACTCACCTTCTCTGAGCCTCAGTTTTTCATCTGCGAAATGGGTGGATAACAACATCACCTCGTAAATTCATCAGGTAAAATTAGCAAGGGCGTGCACACTGCCTGGAACGGAAGAGATAATAAACAGCACAAATTACCGTCATTACGACCGTTTATTTTCCAGTCAAGAAATCCATAAGAGTGCACCAGGGTAAGACACCAACATGCTTTGTGGGGACAAGAAGAGAGACTCCGGGGTCCCACGCGGCCCCCGCGAGGCCGCTGTGAGGTCCCCACACCCATCCTGAAATGGCACGGCTGGGAGACAGAGGCCCCCTACCTCCCCACCAGTCCAGGCCTCGGGCCACCCTTCCCTCCACCAGGACCCCAAGCCTGAGGCGGATGTCCACTTCTGAAACAGCAAGCCCTTGGCCAGCCCCCCGTGCGAGTCCCCGACCCCGGCCACGCAGGCCCCTTCCCCAAGGTCTCCGCGTGGGCCGCCCGTGGGGCCTTGGAAACGGGGAGAACGCCCATTTGTAATGAAGCCTCAGGCAGGCTCTGGTCCACTGACCGAGGCTGCTGCCCCAGTCTGCGCCCCCAGCCCAGCTTCTGGACACTACAAACTGGGCCTCAGGGGAGACTCCACCTCCTGGAAGCCCACCAGACAGCACAGGTGATGAGGCCGACTGTCCCTGCCCTCCCTCGGGTGCAGGGACACTGGGCCGGGGCCGGGAAGGGCCCCAAGGGGGCCCACAGGACCTCTGCATGGGCGGACTCGTGCCACAGATGTTTCTTGCTTGGTTCCGCTCATGTCCCTGCCGTCACCTGCCCTGTCCTGTGCTGGCACCTCTGAGCCGGTCCCTAATCTGTCACGTGGTAACAGCCACCCCTTGAAGAGGAGGTGCCCAAAGGCGGTCATCACTCTGGCCGCAGCCCCAGGGCTGGGGGTGGTACCCTTTGAACTTGACTTTCCTGGTCTGTGAAGTTGAGGGAAAGTGACCCACCCAAGACCTGGCTCTAGTTCCTGGCAAAGTGAAGACTGGGGCGGGAGCCTGGGCTCCAGGAGATGCAGCCTCCTCCCCGGCCACCACGTGGGGGGAGGGCGCGTGGGTCCCACGCTGTCCCGGCTACTGCCTAGGGCAGAGGGAGTGGAGGCCAGGCCGGCGACCCCGCAGGAGCCCCAAGCCTTGCGGGTGGCACCTCCCTGCTGGCTGGCAGCCTGGGTCACGGACGCTGCACAGAAAACAAGCATCGTCAGAAAGCGTGGGTGTAAGTCACGGCGTCTTGGGACCCGCGGGAGGTGTTGGGTGGGGATGTGCCCCACAGGCCAGCCTCTGAGCGAGTGTCTGACCAAGCTGCCACAAGTGGCTTTCCAGGCACTGGATGTCAGTTCAAGGCCCTTCAGCCCTCGGTGACAGGCCCCCCAGGCCCCCGTCCTGGCACTCTGCTGCCAGGCCTGCGTTGAGAGCAGGGAGCACGAGAAGCCCACATCGTGTCCTGGGGTGGCTGTGACAACAGAAATGCACACCCTCCCAGCTCTGGGAGGGGGGGTCCCCAGTGGAGGCCGGGCTCCTCCCGGAGGCTCTGAGGGAGAAGCTGTTCCAGGCCACTCCCCTCACCCCCCAGGCTTCGCCATCCTTAGGGTTCCTCGGCTGTGGACGCCTCCTCCTGACCCCTTCGTCCTTCATCGCACTGCGCTCTCCCTGCGTGCACGTCTGTGTCCAAATCCCCCTTTTATGAGGACACGGTCATGTTGAACTAGGACCCACCCCACTCCAGCATGACCTTGTCTTCACTAATTACATCTGCAATGACCTTATTTACAAATAAGGCCACGTTCTGAGGCACTGAGGTTAGGGCTCCAACACATGAATCTGATGGTGCAAAGGCAGCAAGGTGGGGGGCTGGGGGGGGGGGGTGCTTCTGTTTCTCAGGACGCCCCAGCCTTAGGAAAACCAAGGCAGGTCAGAGGAACCCGGCTTTCCTGGAACGCAGATCTCAGGGCAAAGCCCACAGGCACAAGCTTTATTGTGGGCACAGCCCCAGGGCAGCAAGACAAGGGGAGGAGGAGAGACAGGTGGCTGGTTCCTGGGTGAGAAACAGCTTCCCCAGAAAACAGCCTATTATCAGCCCCGTCGGAGCCCTGGCCTCACCTGCCGACAGGTAGAGAGGAATTCACCTGTGTCCCTGGGCCCACTAGCAACATGGCTCGTGGGGTGTTAACCTCCACAGCCCTACAGGGTTTCCCTCAGCCCCTGGGGAGGCGGGGCTCTGGGCCACGGGAGGGCAGCACAGGCAGGAAGGCGGGGGCTGCTCCATGCAGAGCCCATCCCAGCATCCGGCTGCACTCACTACACTGGAACCTCCAACCCCCATGTGGACCCTCCAAGTTCTCCTTGCCGCCCCCCCCCCCCGCCCCTCTTTGCACCACCCACCGAGCCGAATGAAGGCCAGGCTTCCCCAGGCAGCAGGAGGCCTCTCCTCACTCCTCTCCAGCTCAGAGTGACCCTGTGGCCACCTCGTCGGCTCAGAGCTGCCGTGGTTCCCACCCCGGGAGTTTCCCGTGAAACGTGCAAGTCACGGGAGGACAAGGTTTGAAGGAACCAGGTAGATGGCATCAGAGGCCACCTCTCGGGGCCCCCGAGCCTCCCGTGCTTTTCAGGCCTTGAGCACTCATGGACCTTGCCTCCGAACAGCCCGGTGGCGCAGGGACCCTGACAGGGGAGGGTGCTAAAGCAAAGCCAAGAGACCTGCCAGGGTCCTCTTCCAGAAGGACGTCGGGAGACGTGGGCCCAACAAGATGCCTGAGAGCCACCAGCTCCTTTCCACGGAGCACAGGTGCAAACCCAGGAAATAAAAAAGGCAACGAAAGGAGAGTTCCAGATGGGACCTGGGCAGGGTGGTCAGGAACCCCAGGACTGGAGAGGCGGTATAGACTGGGTGCCTTCCCACGCCCCGCCAACGGGACCCAGGGGCCACAGCCCGGCACCTCCTGATGTCCAACCAGAAGCAAAGTGTTCATAGCACATCAGCTGGAGCCCAGTGCTCCCACCCTGGAAAGACCCCTGTCCCCTCAGGCCAGATCCCTTCCCACGAAGACACACTAGGGGGCCCCAGCAAGGGGATCCCCACATCAACAACCGGCCCGGCAGCTCCCTGCCCAGAGCCACAGCGGGGCGTGGGGAAGCCCCTCACCTCAGGAAGGCCCAGGATGCCCCAGAGGCCCCAGATAAACCGAGGAAATCCGAATAACACCACAAACGCTCTGAAAACTGAGACGTCATCAAGTTCAGCCACGGCATGGGCCCGGACCGCGTGATAACCTTGGACAGGGCAGCAGCAGGCTACAGTGAAATGTTTAAAAAGACTCAGCCACAGCGTGAAGGGTACGACCGAGAATCACAGCCCAGATGAGAAGACACGTAGCTGCAACCAACACCAAGAGGGACAAGATGCCGGAACTTTCCGGCGAGGGTTTCGGCGTGGCCATGTGGGAACGCTACAGGAAAGCACTTACCAGTCCTCCTGGAGCAAATGAAAACATAGAAAACCCCAGCAAAGGAATGGAAATTATATGAAAGGACCAAACAGAAACGACAGAACTGAGAAGCGTAGTAACAGAAGCAAAAACTCAGCAGACGGGCTGAGTAACAAAGAGGAGACGAGGAGGACATAGTCTGTGCGTCTGGAGACAAGTCAACAGAAACAGCCCCACATGAGCCACAGAGAGCACGCAGACCCAGGAAAACCCAACAGACCCCCAGGGCCAGGGGAGCGATCACAGGGACCCACCAGTTTCCGGAAACTGTGCACAGCCAGAAGATGTTCAAATGAGCACTGAGTGCAAACTCGTCACATCTGGTCAAAGACAGAAACCCACGGTGTGAGCGGTGACGAAGGCACCACATGTGGTGCGTGGTCTGGACAGGGCAGTGCTCGGAGGGAGAGTTACAGCGCTGCGTACCCCCCAGACAGCATCCCCAGGCCCCCGCGGACCCCGCTGCAAGAAGCCGGACACGAGGACAGTCAGAGGCGCAAGACCAGCCACGGGGTGGGGCGGAGGTCGGCGAGGAAGAGACAGGGCAGAGCCTCCGCTCCCGGGTCGGCCAGGGCCCGTCACCGGCTCCCGCAGCCTCGCCAGGACAAGAGAGGGCGGTGAGTCACTGCTGGTGAGTTCTGCACCCCAGAAGGAACAGACCATCGATAAGCGCTAAGCATCAATACTCAACCGAGACGGAAGAGGTGAATCCAGCAGTCCCATAACCAAGGGAGACTGGATCCATAGTTCAAAAGCTCGTAAGACAGGCATCTCCTGGATCTGATGATTCTACTGGAGAATTCTACTAAACATTTAAAGAAAGAGGGGCGCCTGGGTGGCTCAGTCGGTGGAGCATCCGACTTCAGCTCAGGTCATGATCTCAAGGTTCGTGGGTTCGAGCCCCGCGTCGGGCTCTGTGCCGACAGCTCGGAGCCTGGAGCCTGCTTCCGATTCTGTGTCTCCCTCCCTCTCTGTCCTTCCCCCCCTCCGTCTCTCCCTCTCTCTCTCTCAAAATAAATAAACTTAAATAAAATAAAATACAAAAGAAAGAAAGAGCAGCACAAGTTTACACAATTTCTTCTAGAACATGGAGGAAGGAGAAAAAGGCTCTTCAACCAATGTTATGAAGCTGGTGTTATCCTGATACCAACACTAGACAAAGACAAAAAAACCAACAAACAAAAACCACTATTAAGCACGATCTCTCCTGAACACATTGCAAAAATCCACTGCAAAATATAAGCAAACCAAGTCAAATGAGGCATAGAAAGAATGCTATATACACGACCAAGTGGGGTTCATCCCAAGTACTCCAGGCTAGTTCAACGCTTAGAAATCAGAGAAAGGATTCGCCACATCAACCAGCTGAAAAGAAAGATGATGTGACCCTATCAAACTACCCAGAAAGTGCATCTGACAAAAGCCATCACCCATCCCTAACGAGGACCCTCGGCAAGTCAGGGTCAGAGGGACATTTCTCGGCTCGCTAAGTATTCAGTATGGTTCCCAAGGTTGCAAACCATCTCAGACGGCCGCAAATGTCATGGATGATGAAGAAAACCCCAGATACAAACAAACGAAGAGT